CTCCCTCCCCCCACTGTTATGATTATACCCTTGCCTCCCTCCCCCTACTGTTATGATTATAGCTTTGCCTCCCTCCCCCTACTGTTATGATTATACCCTTGCCTCCCTCCCCCTACTGTTATGATTATACCCTTGCCTCCCTCCCCCTACTGTTATGATTATACCCTTGCCTCCCTCCCCCTACTGTTATGATTATACCCTTGCCTCCCTCCCCCTACTGTTATGATTATACCCTTGCCTCCCTACCCCTACTGTTATCTGTTCAGGCATGTGTGTTTGTGTTCATTCAATCCATGGAGGCTCCCAAACCGCAATTATATTGAAACTGAGTCCAAATTGTGTAAATGTCTCAGAATTACTCAAAATAAACAAATTACAATGGACAAATGACTTACCAAAGGCTAACAGCACCAAGTTCTAAACCAAAGATAATGTTAGCAAAGGAGATATGATAGGATTTAAAAGTTGATTCTTCATTGTAGGTATGTGTTCCTGTAAGGCAAACCTACCAGAACTCTTTGGACATGTGATTGTCCTTGGATCTGGAGACACAGCCTTTGACTGTTGCACTTCAGCTCTCCGTTGTGGAGCTCGCAAAGTATCAGTCATTTTCAGAAGAGGCTTCACTAATATCAGAGCAGTTCCAGAAGAGGTCAGTCAGGTTGCTTTTGCTCAGGAAATGTTACGTCAAACTTTCAACCACATACAGCTTAAATGAAGTAGATCGAATTTTCAACTATGACTCAAAATTTCCCAGATAAATTACAAGGAAACGCAAACATATTTAAAGTCCTTTAATTTTCTTTGTATGAGCTTTACGTTATGTCGTCCACCATTTTGACTGTAACTTGGGTGAAGGTACTTATTCCATTGAATGCTGCTGATAGTTAGTTTGGCTACTGCGTTAACTCGAAGAAAGGATAGGCGCAAAAAGCGCGGCGGAGCGATAGAACAGGCGTGGTACGGGTCGGGTCGTGTGAGGTCTATTTGCTACCTGTAGGAAAATATCAGTCAGAATAGCTTTGCCGGTGGTGTCTTCTATTTTGCTTTGGGATTCTTGGATTTTGTGAAGTTTGAATTTCGACACGAAGCGTTCAAAATGACCAATGCTTAGTCCAATTCTTCGTATGGATTGTTGCAAACAAAGTGTGCCTGCCTCTACCGTAGTTAGGGAAATATGATCTATTTTCAGATCGCGGCCTTAAGGTGATTGAATGTTCTTACCTTTTATAGATGCAACTGGCTGTCGAGGAGAAGTGTGAATTCCTACCTTTTCTGTCGCCAAAAAAGGTATTTTTACTTGGTTATTATTTCTTGTATCTATCTTTATTGATCTATTGACAGAAATACTTTATAATTAAATCGCGAAACTACTAAAAACTAATATTACTAGTATTAAAATAATAATAAAGCTGATCGGGCTATTTACAATTCAGGAAGAAAGGTCACTACGTAATTTAAACTAAAAATAAAACTAGAAGTAATCTTGTGCTTATATTAATGTAAAATTTACATAAGGCTAGTAAACTATTTACTAAAACAATAAGGCTAAAGGGATAGTTACCAAAGTGGTTACAGAGAGGGGTTTACCAATATGAAATTACTTCGTAAAAATAGGTCAGCAGCTGTACAATTTACTTTAAAATCATCTACAACTTCACTTCTAAAAAGGGGCTGTCGCGATCCTCTGATGCTAGTATTTACAGACTTTAATATTTCGAAAGAAATCCTGGTCCTGAGCCAGCTAATAACAAATGGGTAACCTTCAACGTCCTTCTCTGCCAATTTCTCCGCTAAATGTTTCATAAACATTTTGCAGTCTTCGCCCATCCCGCCGTTGGTTCCAAAAATAAGTGGGTAAAGGAGCCCATCTCGACTTCTAGCACCCTTTGTTGGTACTTTCTCTTCTTCTCACTCTCCTGTTCCTTGAAAATTGCTGCAGTTGATTTCCCCTGGTTAGTTTTGGAGTTGACATTCGTCACTCTAACATCGAAAAATGCTGTCACTCGGCGCGACCAGAAGCCATCAGCCTTCAAATCCAATCTCGCGTCGGAACTTGTTGTGGCTGATCTTAAATTCATCGCTTCATTGTCCAATGGCTGGAGGTGAGGCTTCACTTGGACGTTCTTGAACACTTTGCAGAGTAGGGTGGTTAGTAGATTTCTCACTCGATCGTGGCGTTGAGCCACAAATCCCCCCTTTTTACATGACAAGGCATGGCTTACGTTAAATGGCTCACCACAAGCACGGGTAGACGGTATGTCCTGCAGTGGTAAATTGTACCGCAATCGCAGAGAATCCCTAAATTCTTGCTTATTCGATGCCAAACCCTGATCTTTGAGGGGTATGGCATTGAGCCAGGAACTTGCACCTTTGTCTCTGGCTTGCTGAGAGAGACGCAACATCTCAGGGTCGAGGGATGCATCTATACTCTCGATTTTGGACCTTGTGTTCTCTGCCTCGAGTGACTCCAGGTCTCTCTTTAGTTCCTCTACCAACTGCTCATTCGTATTCATGATTTCGCTTTGAGATTTGATAGACTCAACATGTTGTCTGATGAAAAGTTTTGACGCTGAGTACTGTTGTGGGGCTTCTGTTGTGAAATCAGGTTTTCTCAGGCCGCTTTGCGCTGGTGTTTGTGTCACGAGTTCGCTCAATTCATCTGGGAGTGGTTCTGCTTGACCGAATAGGATGGGGAGATACATCTCATCAGTGACCTGCTGTACATGGTGTACGTATTCTTCGAAAGACTCAATAGTTCGCATACAGTAAGTGAATTTAGAAATGTATCCCTTGGTGAATACAATGTAGGCTGCATGTGGTTGGGTTTTAGCTATTTCTGCTAGTATTAAGATTTCCCCTTTCCAACCTTGAACTTTCTCTGCGCAGTACTGATCTTTGTACTCTTTAGATCCTATAACAGCCCCTAGGTGCCTTTTCCCTTCAGTCGCGATATTGACTTCGTCACCGAAGACCCGTTTTGCTTCACCCGGTAACTCTTGTGACTTCACGATCAGCCAACTCTTTGATCCATTGACCAAGTATTTCTTTCCATCCTCGCGCAGGTACTTGTACCAGCGATATAAATCTTCTGTTCTCCCTCCCCCTGCTGAGTCATCAGCCAGCAAAACTTGTTTAACTCCTCGTATATGCGATCTCAAACTTTGTATCATGATAGATGTGTTAACTGAATACCAAGGCATAGCTAGTGGGTCCCCCCTGAGTATTACCTTCCTGTGACAAAATCTCTCCACCACCGCAGACGAATAACCTTGAGGGTCTTCGATAGGTGTTGATTACATACTTCGACATTAATGGACAAGTTATTTGGATGTTGTGCGACGCTACCGCTCTGTTCATCAGATTAAACGCGTTAGTCGCGTCGATAAGCAAAACTCCATCTGTTTCTTTCTCATCAAAGACTTGGCTCAAGGTGTTTATGGCAACCTCGGCTCCCGCGCTGTGGCTTGCGCAAACCTGTAGAGGGCCCGCAGCGAACTTGATTTCTTCCTTTAAGAAGAGTGCTGTGGTTTTGCCAATAATACGCCGCAGCACTTTACCCACTCCTCTTGGTCGAGTTCTAGGGTTCTTATCTAGAGGGATGAGCCTGTACGATGTGTAGGCTTCTAGTAGGGACGGATGATGGCATGACTTCAGCAGGTTCCTGGTCATCACTGCAATTTCTTCTCTCAGCAGCTTTCCCTCACCAGCGAAATTCTTAAAACACAGGATTCTGCGGTATAACTCAGTGTTCATTCCTGACGGTCCAGCCGAGCCCTTGGTTTTCAGCGCTGCATCGCAGATCTTTTGCTCGTTGATTCGGTCATAGATGTTGGGTGGAATTTGATCTTATTTCTTGTATTAAATCTTTGCTAAAAATTGATAACTGACTAATTATTTACAAGGAGGCGCAAAGGATAATTTAAGTTAAGCCTAACGGTGTTAATTTGTTTGTGAATTTAAGGTTCATGTTAAAGATGGAAAAATCTACGCTATGGAGTTCAGCAAGACAGAACAGGTTTGTTTGCATTCTCAACGTCTTTTTTATGGTGTTATGTTTAGAGATAATTTTCCTCTGATTTTTTAGCTTAGCGGGTTTGGGGAACTCAGGAAGAGCAATTTTATCGAGAAAAGAGTAAGAGCGACAACCAACAACATCAGCGAGAATTATTCCCCTACTTGTTTTGTGAATAAAAGTTATTATTACACGAGTCGGGCAGTCAGAGGGCCAATAACTAAAATTAACCAATCAAAATGTTCTATTGCCGGTCAATATTCTCTCAGTATTGGACCGGGCACTGTCCCGAATGGTCCCGAATGATACCGCACTTGTGTCCCTTTGAACTTCAGTCGTATAATAAATCTCTTATTAACCAACCTTGCTCGGGACCGTACTGGAAGAATATTGGCCCTCGGTCCTTTTTGTACAGACCTCGCTGCGCTCGGTCCGTACTGTCAAGACCTCGGGCCAATATTCTCCCAGTACGGCCCTCGCGCCTGGTTAATAAGATATATATACTCATGTTGTACATATTTCCTTTTTTTTCGCCACCTTCGATTTTTATGATACTTTTTTATTTTAGTTGGAGGATGGTTCATGGATTGAAGATGAAGAACAGACTCTAAAGATAAAAGTAAACTTTGTCATTTCAGCATTTGGTTCCACTCTAGCTGCTGGTGATGGTAAGGGACAGTTACTGTCTGCTCTACTCTGTGTTTGATACCATTGCGACTTGCGAGAAGAAATGTTTGAAGTGAAATATTTAACAATTATTCGTCGAAGGCGATGTTAATATTGTTCAAAAATCCACGAGATGAAGTCAAGGGGATTAGTCAACAATATTTAACGAGCCTGAGGCGAAACAATCTTTCAGTATAATTGCTTACTGATGCTTTTGAATTCTGTCGTAAATTCGTTTTGTTGTTGAAACCATTCTGTTACATTTATTACATTTTGGTCTCTCTTATCGAGATAAGCTGCCAGTTACTACTAGAATTCGACAAGTTTATTGAATTCAGTGAGCAAAAACTTCACATCTTTCTTTGAAAAGTGTTACGTCAAACTAAGTAATTTTTTTTGTGGTAAGCAAGGTTTAATATTTCTTTTAAAGAAGATCATGATTTGGGTGTACCCTTGAGATTACGATTTTTTTGGTCAATTGATCGTCGTTACACGAAGTACAGGTTCACAAAATTTTATACTCCAGTAGTGTGGTTATTCAATTTCGCACTAAACATGTAAATACGCCGCGAAGATGTAGCGCAGTGCAAGTAACTACCACTGTTTGCAAATATGATAAACAACGGATAACGTTGTAAATACTTAACCAGTTCATGTATATTGTAGTCTGTAAATTGTTACAGTTATCAATGCTATGACACCTCTGAAGTTCAATAAGTGGGGGCTCCCAGAGGTGGATTCACAGACAATGAGTACGAGTGAACCTGGAATATTTTGTGGTGGAGACATTGGTGGGTTAGCTAACACGACAGTGGAAAGTGTCAATGATGGAAAGCAAGCTGCCTGGCATATTCACAAGTACTTGCAGGTTTGTCCTTTTCACGTAACAGTTGGTTACATGCCCTAAGTGGAATGAACAATGATATATCGCTTGTTGTCGTGCTCTTTGTTGCTGGCTCACTTCAAGCGGTTAACTTATGTTAAAGGGATCGAAACATAATCAAGACTGAGTTTAATTGTTTTGCTTCTCAGCACAATTGTTTGTTTCGACTTCCTGTTCCTCAGTCATAGTCTTGATACACTTAAAGCCTATTTGAGGTGTTCAATAACCAAAGAGCGATACCATAATAACAGCGGGCAAACACAAAGTAGTTTACTCCTCCTCTCATTTCGTTTTACCTTACCTGTGCTCTGTGATGCTATTGTATACTATCTGAACCTTGGAACAGGTTGGCTACATTCGTTTTACATTTCGTTTTGTCTTACCTGTGCTCTGTGACGCTGTTGTATATTATCCGAACCCTGGAACAGGTTGGCTACATTCGTTTTACATTTCGTTTCCTTCTATCAGCATGTCATTTTCCTCTTAACAAATTACTTGTGTGTTGCTTCTAAACCTTTAGTTACTACCTAACTATCAGATTCTTAGATACTCAGTTTTCTTTCAGTACTAGCAATGAATTCAGTACGAGTAATGAAGTTGTCATCATTGATTTCCTTTCTTTTTTTTTTTTTTTTAAATGGATACAACCTTGATGAGGCGTTGTCAAATGAGAGGCTGATGCTGTTGACTGTATATCTCTTCAAAACTGTGTTTGAGGTCCTAGCTATTTTTTAAGGACCGCTTCATGTCCCATTAAAAGGAAGTAGAAAATATGAGAGATTTTGGCGACCAAAATAGCTTTTTATTGTGGCCGCTAAATTGAAAAATCGCAGTGCGCTAAGTAAATTAAAGATGTAAGAAAAACCGTTATTTTTCTTTGGACCGCGAGGTTAAGTAAGGTTCATAACACTTCAGGCAAAGTTATCATTTCAGGTAATGCTTATTAGATCATTCATTGAACTGTCAACGTCATTTCAAAGTTTTCCTTCTGGACTTGAGGAACCTCTTTACGTTCACATTCGGAACAAAATTTCATAAATTGATCATAAAGCACACTCGTCACAGGGTACATGCAATGGTCGTCCTAAACTTGCTACTTGGCTCTACCATTCTGTGTTATTGGCTGCCTGCAAGGCAGCTCTTGATACACTTTCATAGAATGATAATCTTCGTAGCAGATCTGCGAAGACTGACGTAGTGTGTCTTGGAAGTATTTCGACGTTTTACGCTTTAATTTAGTGAAAACAGTTGTCTTTCTGTTTGTCACGATTGCTGTCTTTCTCTTTGGATGCTAATGCAAGTGGATACTACTTAATGTTTTTGAGTTCTGTCAGTAAACAGAAACTATATTCCTCCTTCCAAATATAATTTACATAGATTGTATAATTTACATAGATTGTATAGCAACTCTTTCAATGTCTACTTTATTAAACCCTAGTGACCATCACTAACCTTTCTTAAAACGGATGAAGATCTGTTATTTTGCTTCTCAGATGACTTAATAAACCAGTCTAGATACTCTCCCACGATACTGGTTGAATAGTATCAACATCACTGTATTGTTGTTATAGGCACTATACGGTCTACCAGTGCCAAAGGAGCCCTGTTTACCGAAGTTCTACACTCCTATTGATGAAGTGGACCTCAGTATAGACATATGTGGATTAAAGTTTGTGAATCCATTTGGCTTAGCAAGTGCACCTCCAACTACTACTGCTGCCATGATCAGAAGAGGATTTGAAGCTGGCTGGGGATTTGCCGTAACTAAGACTTTTGCACTCGACAAGGTAATGAAATATATTTGCGCCTCTCGTCATCATCTGATTGTCGCAGATTGTATCACAAGCTTTAACGTAGCAAAAACAGAGCTTGATCTTGAAAATGTTGGCAAGAATAATTGGACTTATTGTTGGCTTCTGCTTAAAAATTTACACTGATATGTTACCAACAAGAGAGACATTAGGGAACATCGAGTTTTTTTGGAAAGAAAATGGATTGTTTTGTTTGATTAACACTATCCGATCCAAGTGCAAGTCAATCCTGATATTTAGAGAGATACTATCATTAAAAAAGACAATGTAGCCATACCGCACCTCCTTACTTAGTTCTGCAGATTTTTAACATTTTCGGTTGTGTGTGTATATGTGTGTGTGTGTGTTTTTTTTTTTGTTTTTTTGTTTTTGTTTTGTTTTGTAATATAGGACGTTGTAACTAATGTGTCACCCCGCATAGTGCGTGGAACAACGTCAGGTCATCTGTATGGGCCAGGTCAAGGAGCTTTTCTGAACATAGAACTCATCAGTGAAAAGACAGCAGCTTATTGGTGTCGTTCAGTGACAGAGCTCAAGAAAGATTTTCCTGACAGGGTTTGTGTGATTTGTACGCAGATACATTTTTGTACTGTTAGTTGGTTAACAGAGACCATTTTTACCAGATGAAAACAAAGACAATTCCATGAAAGGCCAAATGTAGGTCCGAATCAGATCTTTCAACTATTTTTAAATCATTTTAATATGGCTGTAGCTATCAGTTGTGACTTATACGCATAAAGACACAAGCGTTTTGTCTTCATAGTTGTATCTCTTCTTTGATCTAAGCCGTTTTAGTTAAGTCTGGTTTTAATGAATAACTTTTTATTATCAAATTAAGGGACACTGTAATAGCTATCTAAATGTGCCCTCTCCTCTCTAAAGTGTGAATGGACAGAACTAGAATTGCTTAGTAGTTACTACCTTGTTCATTATGTAACTTAAATTACTACTTCCTTACTACTACGTGGAGTGGAGAAATCAATAAAATATATACAAATACAAAGGATCTTGGTGGAAACACGTGGTTCCAAATTCTAAGTAGTATCAAGAGAAATCTATGTCATGGTAAAAACGAAAACGGCCAAGTGACAATAACTGATTTTAAGTTTGTCCAGAAATGGTGTTTTGTCATACATAATTCGCTTCATAATTCCTATGTTTTAGGTTAATAAGATTAGGCACTTAACTGTTCTCTGACTCTTATTTCATTTTCTTTTGCTAGATCGTAATTGCCAGCATCATGTGTGGATATTCCAAGGAAGACTGGACTGAATTGGCCATAATGGCCGAGGTAATATAATTTTTTTTTGTAAAATTGGGCTCTAATCGCTATGGTGTAGTGTTTCAAACAAGCTATAACCGGCTGCTACCTTTATTGGAGGAACTTTTTTCCAATTTCGAAAGAAAAGGTGAAGACCTTGTAGAGTGGGATAAAGAAGTTGCCTTTGAAATAAAAGTTAGTTTGCTGTCTCCATTTGCTGTCTCAATCAAAACATTATTGGACCTGTTTCGTCTTGGGCTATCACCACTGGCTGCTCTATCTTCCATAAACTTCTTTCTATATCGGTAACTATACCTTTTCCGGCGAAACCCATCAAAAGCACATTGTTCACAGTTTCACGCTATTGCGTCATAGAGATGTCCATGGTGTACTGATGACGAACTCTATTTATTGTTGTGATTTTTTTTTTTCATTCCTTGTGCATTGTTCTTAAATTGTTGCTTGAAATACCCTAATATTCAGTTTATCAAAATTCTAGAACAAGATTTTTGTGGGACCTTTATGTGGTGGTTTTATTTGAAGACTACAAACCAAGCAGACGTTAATAGGGTTAAACTGGTGTAAATGATACGACTATTCCTCATTCTAATATGCAAGATGCGTGAACATTCACAGTTAAACCAGATATCAATTTCAATATACGAGGTACTAGTCAGAATGCCTGAATTGCGAAAAAAAAAACATACCTTATGGCCATGACAACTTACAAGTGTCAGTCCAAACCCAGTAAAAAATGAGTATGTCGTAACGCAAACAAAATAATTTTCTGACCGAGTTCAAATTCATAGTTTGATATGAAAGGTAGGTTCAAATTTTTTCAAATTGTTACTCCTGAATTATTTATGAAATGTTTCTCCTACAGGCCTCAGGAGCGGATGCGCTAGAATTGAACTTATCATGCCCACATGGAATGGGAGAGAGAGGCATGGGTCTAGCTTGTGGTCAGGTTTGTGTTGCTCTCCTTCCATTTTCCGTTATATTCAACCGACTTAACCATATTAGTCTCAAATATTGAGACTATTGACTAAGTTCCTAAGTTTGGGGTGCGTCTTATAACCGAGTGCGCCTTATAACCGAGAAACTTCGGTAGATTAGGAAAATCTGTTGATTTGGGTACAGTTATTTGGCAGAGTTGTTTGTGTTTCATTTGTTTTACAAATTCTGCAAGGTTTACGGTCTATCAGAAAGCGTCGATGCAGACAAAATGTTTACAAGTGTTAAGGGAGGTTTGGCAGTTTAGATTGCAATGTTTCTTTCAGGTGTACAATTAAACTAACAATTTAATGTACTTTGAACCGTTCTACAAGATGCTCAGGGCTCGACACTAACTTTTCAGCTTACTAGCCAAGTGGCTAGTGACATCTTTGATGTCTTTAGATGTTATGAGAATTTCAGTCTGTTTACTAACCAAACTGGCTAGTGGGCTACCGTTAGTGTCGAGCCCTGATGCTGTTGTTACAGTCAAATTTTATTTTAGAATCACTGTTTATCGACTGCTCTTCAGCGATGCAAAGTTTAAAATCAATCTGACTTAACTTCAATTTCCATCATGAACCATAGAAATTACAACGGCTTTTAAGTCTCCTCATTTTAATTTATGGCATTTCTATTACACACCTGATTACTTAATTTGTCGGATCATTTCACTCTTTTTACCCTAACGTTTGCATGTAAGAAAAGTAATCGAATTTATTCTTTTTACAGGATCCAGAACTAGTTCGGAACATTTGCAGATGGATACGAAGTGTCATTAAAATTCCGTTTTTTGCAAAACTAACCCCAAATGTTACAGATATCGTCAACATTGCCAGAGCTGCCAAAGAAGGTATGATTTGTCGTTAAGTTGGCTTGAAGAGGAATAGACGAAGTTTTTTCCCTTTTCTTCCAACTTAAGTGGTCCCGGGGGCCAATCTTACCCGTTAAGTACTTTTGCTTTTCGTTCCATTGGTCAGAGTCATTTGAAAGATAAAAAGAGATACAATTATGAAAATCATTCATAATTGGTCAGAGTCATTTGAAAGATAAAAAGAGATACAATTATGAAAATCATTCATAATTGGTCAGAGTCATTTGAAAGATAAAAAGAGATACAATTATGAAAATCAATGACGGCAGGGTGACCACTTGTCCCCGAACAGTGTCGGATTTTTTCTCGGGGACTAGCGTGTCATCAATTGTACTTGTCCTTTGGACAAGTGAATCTTCAAGAAGGAATGAAAACGATAGGCCTTTAAAACATTTTAAGTGTAAATTGAACACTATGAAGAAGAACACTTTCTTTTGTAACATTTAAGTTTGCCTTTCCTTTTTTGATTACTTAATTTAGACGAGTAACCGCAACTTACCCTTGATTGTTGACCCTTGATGAACAGTAGAACCTTGATCGATGGAAACCTTAGTGACTTTTAAGGATTCATGGTAATCTAGTGGAATAAAAAGCATTATTTTCTTAGGGTGTGCTGATGGAGTGACTGCAACTAACACAGTGTCTGGCTTGATGGGCGTGCGTCCGAACAGTGCTGCATGGCCTGCAGTTGGAAAAGAACAAAGGACAACTTATGGAGGCGTGTCGGGTAATGCAATTCGTCCCATAGCATTACGAGCTGTATCTGCGATTGGCAGAGCCCTTCCGGGTTTTCCAATCTTAGCTACTGGGGGAGTGGATAGTGCAGAAGCTGCGCTTCAATTCCTTCATTGCGGAGCATCTGCTGTTCAGGTGAAATAATCATCTCAGTACTTTGTGTCATGAAAAAGCATGTAATAAGTTAAGTTTTCATCATGGAAAATTTGGGGTTGTTTAGGGAGAAAAACTCGCCATTTAGCTTTATTTACCATTTTTTCTTTGTTAACGAAGTGAACTGGGCTTTCTTAGTTGCTTATATTATACCCTAAGGACGAAACTGGCCTCAATACTTATAGGATTAAAGTTGAGAAGGTAAGGAAAGATAAAATAACTTGCTCGACTTCTGTATACCCCCTCTTTCTTGTCATTTAGTAACATTCATATTTCGTGATAACTGAATATTGTGTTCACAAGTTTGTTTTTCTCGTTTAAAAATATATACTTAGTTAAAATGTGCTGTCAAT